TGGGTATATGCCCAAGCGTGGTATGGCTGGATCTGGAGTTAGATAGATTCCCAGCATTTTAAGGAACTGCCACATTAATTTCCATGGTGGTTTTATAAGTTTGTCCTGGAAGCAGTGATAGAAGGCTGTTTCCCCTTGCTCTACATCCTTGCTAACATGAGCTATCACTTGTTTTGTTGATCTTTGCCATTCTGAAGTGTATAAGATGAAATTTCTGCAGCTGAGGATTTTGAACATTTTGTTATATGCTTCTCAGCCTTTTGAGTTTCCAAAGATGGCAACATAAAATTTTTAGACAAATGGATGGAACGAAAAAAAAAAAAAACCATCCTGATTAAGGTAACTTATACCAGAAAGATAAGTATGGCATGTATTCACTTATAAGAAGATATTATATATTAAATAAATGGTAACCAAGTTATAATATGAATACCCAGGAAAGTTAGAAAAAGAGGCAGGGTTGAGCCACATGGATTTTTATGGGCAGACTGAGAACAAATGGGGACAGGAATGGAGGAATTAGATAGTGGGAGATGGGTTTGAGGGAGGGAGAAGAAAGAGGAATATCTGGAATTGGATGGGGGGGATATTTGAGGAATGATATGGAAATCTAGTTCAGTGAAATCTTCCTGGAATATATAAAGGTGGTTCTAATGAGGACCACTAGTAATGGGGGACACAGAGTTTCAACAGGCCATCTCTTGTAATCAAGAGAGGCTTCCAGTGGTGGAATTGGATTGCATTCAATTGAGTTGTTGGCCAATGGAAATTCCCGAACAGCCCAGGCTGTTCTTAAGGCAAAGGTTTGTTCTCTGCAAACAGAACATGTGAACACATTGCTGAGGACCACATACACAGAGTTCACTGAACATGGAGAAGTTACGTTGATGCCTACATGGAGCATGTCCCTTTGTTCTTGTTATGGACACCAATCCAGTCACAAAACCTTTGACCTACAATCAATCTGTCCTGTCTGCAAAATATGCTAAGGCAATGGTGGCTCAGAACTTGTGAGAGTAGCCAACCAGTATCTGATGTGACTTAAGGCCCACTCCAGGAGAAGGAAACTCTACCTGACCCTGCTTGGGTGACCAAGAACCAGAGACAAGAAAGCCAGAAACCTAGGGTGAAACTAAACACGATATGTTAAAACAAACAAATAAATCAATAAAATGACGTCTAAAGATATTCTGCTATACTCAGAAATCCATCGCTTATCCAGTCATCATCAGAGAAGCTTCCTCTTGTAGTAGGTGGAGACAAATAAAAAGAACTAAAAAGGCATGTCTCCATCTAATCCCTGCCCTCTGAGCTCAGGGAGTTTTACAGCCTCCTCTTCAGGATATTCCAGAGGGAATGGAAGACACCAGGAGAACAAAGCCCTCTGAATCAACTAAGCAAGGTAAAGCACACATGAACTCACATAGAGTGAAGCAGCTAGCCAGGGCCTACATGGTTCTGCACCAAATCCTCTGTGAATACATTACATAATATTTTTTATGGGAATCCCAACTGTGAGAACGAGTGGGAATCTGACTCTTGTATCTGCTTTCAGGACTCTTTTAGTTCTATTGAGTTGTTGTGTCCCAACTTTGATAAAAATAATTTTCGCTTAATCTCATTATATTTTGTTTTTCATGTTTGGGTGTTATCTTTTAGAAGCCTATTCTTTTCTAGTGAGAGACAGTGAATCTGGCAGGGGGTGGGAATGGAGGAAGGGAGGAACTATAATCCAGATACTTTGTATATTTTGTATGAGATAAGAATCTTTTGAATGGAGGTTTCTTCCAGACAGTGTTTCTCTGTGTGTAGCCCTGGCTGTCCTAATGTCCTTGAACTCACAAAGATCCACCTTCCTCTGCCTCCCTCATGCTAGGATTAAAGGTATGTGCTACCCCTGCCAGGCAAGACAAGGATTTATCTTCAATAAATTAAAAAAGAAAGAGATTCTCAACCTCAACAATAACAACAAAAAAACATGAACATGAGGAAGAGGCTTGAATATGGGATCCACACTTTAGATTCCCCCAGACCTGTTTCCACTAAAACACTGTTTACATCCACTTCACAGTGCATGCCAAATAGGAATCTTAGTGGTCTATGTTTTAGCACCCAGAAATCACTAGACAGTACAGGTCAGAGTAAACAGCAGATTGCGCCTTGTTTTGTAGACTTTCTTTTTTGTAAGTACAGGGTCAAATTCAGAATTGATCACTACCATATTAAACTAAACATGTTGTCATAAGCTGTTGTTCGGATTCCACCTAAGAGTGTGGATGTTGTTTCGATGAGAAACCAAGACGTTTGAGGGCGAAATAGTAGAAAGGTGGAGTTAGTTCTAGAAGACACAGGATGATGCCTTAATGAAGCCAAATTGAATATGAAAATGCAGTGTAGATAATTTGAGTTCAGGTAAAAAGGAGAATGAAATGGATATTATTGTTTGGACTTTGACAACTCAATCAAATATAGAGTTAAAAGTTTAAAATAAAAATCAAAATAGTGAAAACTGAACTGAGTGTGATATTTTTTATTAAATTTAAGCTGAGCAGCTCAATCATTGTTGATGCAAATAATAAAGTGATATGAGAAGAAGTGTACAACATTATTATCATCTTGGATAAATAAAAGACACAATTTTACTACTGATAATTATTTATCATTCCTGTTAATAAAATACTCTTTCACTTAATGAAACCCACAAGTTTGGGACAATTAGAATACTTTCATTTCTGTTTGGGATTTTTGCATATAACAAGTTGTGTCCTGAAGAATATCTCTCTAGAATGTTAAGTCAATCAATAATCTTTCAACGCTCACCTCATAATTTAGGGAAATCTCAGTTTTCTTCATTACATCATTGCATTTGGGAGGGACTTGAGTTTTGATGACATATTTTCAGTCAACTCTTTATATTTTATCTTTGCCTTCTCGGTCTCAATAACATGTCCAGTAGGCCAGTTACTTCAACACACCTACCTCAAGTGCCATGGATCCGTGTATGTCTAACAGTATTGTTATTGTAATTGGTAATATAACCATTTGAGTGATTTGGCTTACAATTTGTGTTTTTAAAAAAAAATAAGAGAAAATATTTTTTTAAAAATGGAATGTAGAAAATATTTATCAGTTCTGTTGGAAATTTAGCTCAGCATGTAGACATGCCTTTTATTTATTTATTTTAAGAGAGGAAGGGTTTATTCTGGCTAAACTTGGGTCCAGTCTGCTGTGGTCGGGAGGGCAAGGGGGCAGGGGTTTGAAGAAGTTGATGAGCTGGATTTACAGTAGAGAAACAGATGGCAAAGACAGCAAACAAGCTGAGACCCTGAGAAGCTCTAGCTGGGCATTAGCACCCATGTGCCAGTGTAAGGGAATATCAAAGCACTTACTGGAGTGCCTGACTTTTCCTCCAACCTTTTATTGACTTTGCCACATCTATGTTATTCTGACTCCACCACTACAGCCTCTGGGGATTCTCTGGAACTGGGAAAATAGCATGTGATGTCCTCAAAGCACGTACCATCACCTTCCTCACTCAATCATCAATCTCTCGGTGACTGCTTGGGAGTCCTGTGGGCAGTCTTTGCCCCAAACTCCAGCAAGGAAGGAGAGAACATGACGGCTTCTTTGAGAATCAAGAGACACAGCCCATGCTTGGCTTTTGAAACTCAATGGTAGGAGTAGAGTAAAAACACTTAACAATGGAAGAAATTCACTGCACGATAGACTCACAATCCTGAAATAATGATTTGTTATTGTATATAACTAGCTTCAGGGTAAATACACAACCGCCAATAAGTCAAAGCTCTTATGCTGATTTGTTTCTGTATTGATTTAAGTTTTTATTCATTTGGGGCATCTTATATACAACATTGTAATACAAGGTCAGTGTTCCAAAGGCAAAGCTAACTAACTAATTAGTTAGTCAATAGCCTGAATGTGGAAAAACTGAAAACACAAAAAAAGGAAAATGGAAGACTGAGTGAATGCCTCTTACTGGGTCACCCCTGGATTATATGGTATATTTACCTAATACATATTGTCATATATTTGTGCTAAAAACATCACAGGTTTTAATATCTTAAATTATACCTTTTTTTTGCTTCTTCTCTAGAAGTCCATGGTTAAATTTCCCTTAAATCTTAACATGCTTCTAAACTAAAACATTATGCCCAACTCTGCCAGCCTCTTCTCACTCACCTCCCAAAAGCAGTTACAAATGTTGTTTATGTCAGTGACCACAGGACATTAAGTTGTTAATGAAAAATACGTAGCAAATAGATTATATTAATTCATTTAGGTAAATGAGTAACTATTGAAATTATAGTTGTCATAAAAATTTGTTTTTTGTTTTGAAGCTTATGAAAAGTAGCCAATAATTTGTGGAGAAAATGAATATATAAGTGTTCTATAATGAAGTGAATGCCATATTTTCAAATGAAGAGCAAAATTAAAGGCACCATTTCCCCCATAGTCTTAGTAATATTCTTGATATATTTTAAGTAGCTTGTCATTATTGTACATAAAACTTGAGACTAAATGATTTTAACACCTTAATTTTAATGCCACTCAGTTTATTTCTGGCTAAACAAATAAAATACTTTTATGACTTATCATTAAGGATTTTAGCTGCTACTTCTGAAACAATTAGAATGCTATAAAGTAATAGGTGTGTATGACTTTTCTTTTAGCAATGACATTCTGTAATCCTTGAAAGAGGCCAACAGAGACATCTAATACGTGTCTCTTAAACAATGTACTAAGTATGAAACCTAAAACAAATTATGAAATACATATAGAGTATACATAAATCTCAATTAATCTAGACACTCTGGAAAATCATATTTTATGCTAAATCCTCCAAGGTTAATAGACTTAAAATTTGAGAAAAGTAAAAATGAAGAAAAAAAATCAGATGCTGAAAGCAAAAGAGAAACCAGTTATCTAACAGTAAATGAAGAAAAAAATCAGATGCTGAAAGCAAAAGAGAAGACTATTACCTAGCAGTAGCAGCTTAACCGTCCTTGCATCTCGCTCCGCATCTTCCTGAAGTTTCTTCTCCAGCTCTTTTGACCTCTTGGCTGACTCCTTGCTCTCTGAGCTGATCCCACTTCCCATCTTCCGATGTGAGATGCAGGTCAATTGATTTGCTCCAATTTTCCAAACACAGAGCACAGCAGTGGTTTGGACAGAGGACTTAGGAGCAGTGCTGGCTAGTGCAGAGAACAGCCTAGTCCCTGTGCTCTCAGTTCTCCTTTGACTAAGGGGATCTTTTCTGTCACCTGATCAAAAGGGAAAGCCATGCAACTCCAATGAAAGCTGAAGAGGAAATTCATTATGCTTTCAAATTAAATGGTCACAGCTGGCCCGTCTTCAAAACCATGCTTACCTGCCTTAAAGTCTAGCACAAAATATACAGAAAGCATTCAAAATGTTGATATTCAAGAAGGTCTGTGTTAGGCAATACAAATGAAATGTTTCTCAGCAACAGGAGATGTTTATTATTGGTATTGTATGTATTATGTAATTTTATATTCATTTTATTTTCAGATATTTCTTTTTTTCAGACGATTCACAATTACTCCTATAACACAGGAAGGCGTATGTATGAGGCTATTCAAATTCCATTTGCCTCTTCTTAGATTGACACAAATATTGATAATCTCTTAATATGTCAATGAAGTAGAAAACATTTTTAAAAGCAGAAACAAAAGATATGATTGCCATATTTGTACATATTTTATAGCTACAGCTGTAAAATAGGCCCCGTACCTTAACTTATGGATTTTTAGTCTCATAGGATACATCTCTGTAAATTGAGCTTTTACTGCCTGTGAGAGAGTCAATCCATCAATGCTAATTGAAGGTCCACTTTGTAGAGACACTGATCTGTGCTCACTGTGAGCAGCAAATAACTCTTTAGGGCTTGTAGGCAACAGCTGCTCTGCTGGGGGACAGAGACCGATTTGGTGCTTGGGGAATAAAGACCAATGTTCTTGGAAGCAGAAAAAAGCTTCAATTCTGATAATCAAAATACTAATACACCAAAATATGTTCCATATCTTTTAGTTACCCCACTCACACTATAAAATTCTTGAAAATTGGCTGGCTTAAGGGAAGAAATGACTTTAATACCATTTTTATTCATTTATCTGAAGTAAAAAGCAGTTAGTAGGCTATAAAAATATTTTTCTTATAGACACAGGTGTTTGCCTGTAACAGCAAGTGTGTCTTACACCGCATTTTTGTGGGGTGTGAGGGTGTATTTAAATATAAAATGCTGGAATATAAGTGGTTGATTAAGCTGTCGTTGCTATTCTGCAGGAATCATGTGTAAAGTTTGAACAGGTGGGTTTTTGAATATTCATACAACAAGGAAATAGGCCACCAGACTAAATACCCATTCCTGCTTTGTTTACTTTTGCACATTAAATATGTGGCGCTGAAGATACATGAACGTAGTCAAAACATCTTGAATTTTATTCCCCCAAAGACACTGTAAAGATTTGGAAAGGTACATATGCAAAGCCTTGTGCAAAACATGTGCCCTTGCTTTCACTATGCAAAGAGCTAGTCCCAACGGAAGGAGATGGACGCTGCTACATTACTGATGATCAGCCCTGGAGACAGGGTCCCACCTCCGAAGGAAAGGCTTAGCACACTAAATCACATTTGGTCTATTCATATTTCATAGACTAAATATGAATTGTATCCAAATATTTAGGGTTCTGACATGTCCCAAACAAGCAAAGGATTGACATGATATGATAATCATTTGCACTCAAATATAAATACACCCCTAGCTTTTGTGCAGGGATCTACTGTGGTTTAAGAGTTTTGCTTTCTAAGTCTACCTTAGCAGTTCGCTGACTAGCTCTTTGAGATGTCATAACAACAAATTTTGTTTGTTCTTGAAAGCAAGAGACACAAAATTATCCCATAGACCAACATGTTAGCTGTGCACTCTGGCCATTGGTAGTGAGAAACTGTAATGCACACACACATACACACATCCCCAGGATTAAAAGCATTTTGGTATGATGGTATTTTCCTTTTGGCATTTTCTAACAAAGATAAACTTGAGATTGAGTGAGTGAAGATTCACTTCTATAACTAACAGAATTGCCATTAATCTGAACACTACAAATAATTATCTTCAGGCTATTTGTGACTAAATACTCTGCGTAATCTCTTGATGGGGATATTGGATGATTTTTTTTTAAAAAAATATTTTGCAATTATTTTCTATTTCTGTTAAACATAAAACCCATGGTGATCTGCTTTTCACTACAGGTTTCAAACAGTGATTTGTGGTGGCCCTTGTCACTGTCATAGACCTGGGATTTTACAGTCACTGATCTGGTTTTCCTTGGAATTGTTATATGAGCCTGATTTAGGGGATCAGCTCCTGCTGGAAATTATCTAGGCAAGCTGTCATGTGTGATCTTCTTTATTTTATTTTCATATCTCATAAGAGGTGTTGATTTCAAGCGTGGGGTCCCTGGACATTTTGAGTCCCTGCTGCCTTAGCAATGACCTTTCTCCTTGTATTTCCCCGTGGAATTCCTGACGAACCATCTCTTCCTTTGCTAATGGTGCTCAGATGTGCACTTTAGGGAATGCTGAGCAGGGCCTTTCCTCTGGAGATCTCGAGCCTTTGGGGTTTGCAGACAGCAATCCTTAGATCTTGAGGGAGCACGTCAAAGCTTTCTTCTTCCAGACAGTTCTTCAGATGGTACAGTGAGACAGCACTGTAATATTAAGTAACTCGAAGTTGTAACGCGTAATACAAACATGTGCATGATCAAATTGGTTTCCATCTTTATTCGGCACATTTTTTTATGGATAAGGACATGATTATACTGAATGATGACAGAATATGTATCACAGTTGTTTCCCTGAGCGCTTCTTTCTACCTCAAATTTTGTTGTAAGTTTCTTACAAAACATTTGTATCACCAGTTCACATAAATATTTTTCTGAGTGTTTTCAGCTTTGAATATTACAGCAGATTCTTATTAAGTTTCCCAATTTCAGATTCTTCTCTATGCCCATCTTATCTGTCTGATTATGCCAGGCTAAATTATCCCATACCTAAGATTAACAGTTAATCCTTTCTATCAGGAAAGAGCAAAAACAAATGACTCCCTGGATATTGCAGAGTTCTTCATCTACAATTTTGTTACTACCACCCCATTATCAAAAACAATATTTCTCAATAGTTCTCAAATCACATCTCAATTTTGTTGGCCTTTTGAACCTCTTGCCTTGCTCAGCCTGCATTTCTAGTTTTCACGAGTGATCTTTTTCTCTCAGTAAGGATGCCTTTGTTCTCTAGAGGTGGCAGTTCCCATTGTGCCATATTTTAATGAGGAAAATGGATCAGCATATACTCTTGGTTGAACTTTGATCTGCTACCTGGCTCACCGTCCTGGGTGGGCAGCAGCACCAAGGTGTTATAACCTTCCTTTTCTCTCCTTCTGTCCTGGGGATTGAGTGCAAAAGACTCATTCATAATCAGACAAATGTTACCCCATGGAGCTGTATTTGCAGTTTTCAATTCACTTAAACATGAAAAAAAATGCTTGTAAGAACTGAATTAGAATATGACATTTGGAAGGGTCCATGTCAATGAGTGAAGAAATATTGGTAGGAGAAATTGTGTTGCAATGTAGTTGCAACACAGAATCGGGCAATCCCTAGGAGATCTGAAGTAGAGAGGATCCTTTGGGCTTATGCTGAAATGAGGCAGAAAGACTGGGCCATTTTTTCTTTCAAGAACCCGACATTGAAATATATGTTACTGTGAGGGAATGGCGTTATCATGAATTAGGAAAGTCTCACAGATGAAGGAAAGATTTGGACAAGGCGTAGGCAGGGACAAGGCTATGTCAGTCAGAGAATTAATTTCCCTTTCGTGGAGTATATAGAAACTCGCCTGGGCTTGCATTACACCTCCTCTTCTTCTATACCAATGAGCAATGAGCAGTACCTGGGTTTAGTGGAATCACTATATTTGTGCTTGTCCCGTGACTCTGATTGCTCTCAGTTCTTGGGAAACTTAGAAAAAGTAAATTAGTGAAACAAGTTTGTCTATGCTATCATGCTGGCCTCAAACCAACAGCCGTTGCTCATCGTAATTCTTCTGTTTATTCCAGGTGTTTCTCCTCTGGGACAGCACTAAATGATTATTTCTCTCACATTTCAAGGGGCATAGAGGTTTGGAGGACGTTTGAAATGAGAATAGCACAGGGGAAACCAACCAAGTTCACCTAGGACCATAAATTTGAGGAGACTTAAGAACTTTACTTCAAAATACATGGTTAATCCATGGAGAATGAGAATGATATACTATTAAGATATGTGTACTAGTTTGTCTTATCTGCTGAGGTGATGACGACTTTTTATCACAGAGAATACTCATCCCTACTCACCACACCCATTTTTGGACTGTGGCTGCTACCTTTGCTATTTACTAGTAAAACTGAGCAGGAAGCAGTAATAAATAGGCCAGATCATCTGGGCGCCAAGGTATCACTGCCTCGTTTCACTCTGGTCATAACTGCTGATGACCAGGGCCATTCTGCTGGTCTTTTGACAAAGGGAATAATCTAAATAAACAAAACCATAAATTCATACTGCATGTTTCATAGTCATGGCTGTCCTTTCCAAGGTAGAGACGATTCAATGCAATCACTCTGCTAGGAGATGCTTGATTGATCTTAAAGAGAATGCGTGGTAGAAGGTGTCAATTATTTTTCTAATGGCGTGGTAGAAGTAGAAGTTATATCATGCATAGTGTTCCTAGGAGGTTATGCTTACAAGTACATGCCCAGTCTCTGTTCTCCATCATGGCTATTCTTCCCAGAATGTGCTGGTACAGAATTGGAGAATCTCTTGACACAGACTGAATTGATGTCAACTGGCCTAATGATTCTGCCTCTTGGTTACATAGAGTCACCTCCACGGCAGATGCGCATTACTAGGAATTGCCATAAAATTCAAATCCTCAAAGGCCTCAGTCATTCTTGTCTCCAGCACTCTTTACCAATGGATCATTTTATTTCCATGACATAGAGTATCCAGACAATTCATTTGCAGCTACCCTACGGTCCTTCTGTTTTTCACACCAAATGGATAATCGGGATTAGTTACCAGAGTTGGATCCTCCTTTGCCAAGACTTTGGTTCACAGTTTCCAAAATGAAAATAAGACAACAGCAATTTACTTTTGG